CACACACACACACACACTCCGTCTAAGTCTTCCCTTATTGTGGGCCCACTGGATGTGGGAGCCCGGTATTCACCCTTCCTCACATCGTGCCTTCTGGGCGTCTTTTACCGCAAAGGGCACGCATACCTGGGACAGAATAAATAATCAATATCTCACTGTTTTTTGTCAGTAACACATGATTGGGCTTGTGCTGTGCAAAGGGGCTGTTATTGGGAAATAGCATGTTGGGGGAAAGCAGAGGACAAGTCGCTGCCTTCGAGAGACGAAGGTGCCTTAAAAATTCCACAAGGAGAAAACCAAACGGAGAGCGCCTGACGAGGCTTCATGCCTCTATTTAGGCTTCTTGCCTGGGACAGGCTTTGTGCGGATCTTCCCGTTTTTGTATTCCTTCTCAGAATGAACATAGACAATGGTAGATTTACACGATGAAATGAGAGCATTGGTCAGGTTACAAAAAGAGAGAGTGCGTCAGGGTTTTTTTTAAACGTAAGCAACGATTTCTCTAAAAGCAAAAAGGTTAAACTACTTTTAAAAAAAATATAGCCAATCATATTTACTTTCTGCCCGTGCTGCATTACAATTGATCGATTAGACAGATTGTTTTAAAACTCCAACTTTAATATCACGTAGAATAGCCCATATTTTTATTTATTTTTCTAACAGAAGAAACAGAAAATCATACGACGCTCTTTGTAGCCTAATGTTAAAAACGAATAGCATATCACAAAGCAGAAACTAAAAACAGGAATTATTATTTTTACATTAAACATTTTAAATATATAAGCTTCATTTTATCCATTAATCGTTTCCAGTGTTTTTGCTTCTTTTTTTGTTGCTTTATTTAGCCTAAATTGCAGAGTGACTGTACAGAACTCCACAATGTGTAGCTGCTTCTAGAAAAAAAGATTTTGTGTTGTTCTCGATCTTGTGTGGATATCTAACGAACATAGAAAACAAATAAAGCTGCATTTGATAAGATATTGACTGTTTAAAAGTCAATATGGACGATGATTCCCTTTAAACGAGTGCGTAATAAAGTCGGGTTACATGCAAAAAGCTTGTAATATCATCTGATGGCTTCTTGTTTGGAATCGTACAATTTTAGTAAATAGACAGTAACGCGTATTAACGTGCCTTCATATATTGCCTATATTTAAAACTATTAATTTTTCGGTGTGGCATAAACCACAAGCATTTAAATGGCATGCCTCTGTCATAATTCTGGACAATGTAATGTTTGGTTTTTATCTTTCCACCAAAACATTTATTCATTAGACTTTTCCCACATGAGTGGTTGTTCACTTGTTTTATGATTATGCGAAAAAAGCCCTGTTTTGAATGGGCTTTTATTCTATTAAGTGCGCAGACTATTTGCACTCATCGCCTATCATAACATGCACAACAGATTCTGATCGAATTATTTCTGTACACTATCCTCGCAGAGATTGCACTCTCAGCATGTCACTTGTTGTATTGTTTAGGAGCCCGTTGGTTTTTGCCGCAATGGTCGTTAACCTCTGAATGACCCCGTGTGGAGCCCACGCCTCACAAAGCGCCGCAGACAGGCAGTGCAACAGTTGAGCCAGAGGATGGCGCACCACGACAATTCAAAACACCCAAGCCCTGGCTCTGAGTTTGCCCTAGCCACGAGCGCATGGAGGCGCGCACCCTTCACATCCCACCCAGTATTTCCTCTGTGCACGAGTTTACCTCTGGAGGTCACCAAGCAGGATTTACGACTGGTCAACAAAAGCACGTGATTCTCCGCCGTACCCCATATTTGGGTGCCTACGTAAGAGAGAATCAAGTCCATGTCCCACTCATTTCCATAATTCATCATAAATTGTGCAAGGGTGCTATAGGACGCGCTAAACCATAAGAGCCACAAATCAAGCACACAGGTTTATGCTATTTTACCTCTAAAAACAATAAAAAAACAACAACAATACCTACAACGAGCAAACGGTGGAATTGTCAACAAATGAGCTCCTATTTTGTGAACTCATTCTGCGGTCGCTATCCCAATGGCGCGGACTTCCAGTTACATAATTATGGAGACCATAGTACGGCAAACGACCAATACAGAGACTCAACAGCCATGCATTCCAGCAGGTACGGCTATGGCTACAACGGGATGGACCTAACAGTCGGGCGGGCCGGTACCGGACACTTTGTGGGCAACGAGCGGACGCAGGGCTACTCCCCGAGTCACTCAGCGGCGACAACACCCTCGGTGGAGCCGGTCAGGTACACCCAGTCCGCCAACAGCACCGGGACATCGTCTCTATCGCCACCACCTGACCCACTACCGTGCTCTTCGGTCGCCAGCTCGTCCCCGGTCACCGAGACTCAATCTCAACACCGAGCCGTGAAAAACTCTATAACGACCCCGTGCTCAACCCCGTGCTCGAGCTCGAACGGAGGCACGCTGCTGCTCAACCGGGACTGTGTGTCCAAAGCTTCCCCCCTCGAGGAAGAGAAGCCTGCGGGAAGCGCACCGACAACTCCTCAAAATGTCAGCGACTCAACACAGCCTCAGATATATCCGTGGATGAGGAAACTGCATATAAATCATGGTAAACTTCTTTTCTTTGTAATGATCTTGTATTGATTTTAGACACCTTGCGCTGTGTTATTGTTTAGTGAAGGTGTGATCATGTTTATAGCTCATTCAGTGACTTTTTAACTATCAGAAAAACTGGTCAAATTTGCACTATATGATATATATATCGGTAAAAAAAAAAACCAAAACACGTTTACTCTTTAAAGGAGCATATGGCGCCATATGCGCCTCTCACCTGTTAGGTGCTTTTCAGTACTGTCAACATAGACCAGGTACGGGATGATTTAATAACATAACAAAAGAGTTTAAGGTTAGTTAAAATGGTATTACATATATACAGGATATATGGGTTTGTTTGTTTGTTATACTGTAGTTTTATGGTAAGACAGCCCACATTTACATCATTTTACCGTGTTAATTCCTCTCCGCAACATGCAATGGAAAAGGTGTGTGTCTCATTTTGTTACATGTTGTTTTTAATGATTTTGGGTTCTATTTAAGCAACATTTAAAACTTTCTCGTTTACCAACGTTTACGCCATTCCTACCTACAGAAACCATATAGGCAATATAAAAGAAATGAAAGAAATGTAGTCCAAAAAGTTTTTGCACAGATGTTTTAAACATCTACAGTATCTCATGTGTTTCCACTCTCTTTTTTGTACAAGATTTGGCAGGACCTGAAGGGAAGAGAGCGAGAACTGCATACACCCGCTATCAGACCCTGGAGCTTGAGAAGGAGTTCCACTTCAACCGGTACCTGACCCGCAGGCGGAGGATCGAGATAGCCCATGCCCTCTGCCTCTCAGAGAGACAGATCAAAATCTGGTTTCAGAACCGCAGGATGAAGTGGAAGAAGGACAATAAACTGAAAAGCATGAGTCTTGTAACAGGAGGCAGCGCCTTCCACAACTGAATAACTTTTTCTTTTTCTTTTTTTTGGAGGAGAGTAAAAAGAATAATAGTTTAAAAAAAAAGAAAAAAGAAAGAAAAATCCATGAGTACTGTAAAAGCTATTGAAAAGCGCAGCACCTTCCAGCATGCTATTGTGATAGAAAAAGAAGTATTCTGTGGTCTTAAAATGCCATTTTTAGTTGACTGTTGTTGTTATATGATAGCTTAGATGTCCTATTTGGAAAGAAATTAAGATGTAAATATTATTGGGGGTATTACTTGTCCATGCTTTTTGCTCTCTCTCTCTCTATCTCTATCTCTCTCTATCTTGAAGGTGTTTCAACTTGAGCTCTTTATTGTGACTTATTGACGGTCTAACAGGAGTAAAATTTCATTGTACAGTTAAAAAACACACACAGAAAAAAACTAAAACAAAAAAAAGTTTCCAAAAAACCATATGCTGCTCTTCATTGAATGTAAACCTAATGTATTCCGGGGCCATTCAAAGCGCTTTAGTGTAAGTTTTACTGCTATTTTTGATGGTTATCTTGTGGCCAGATTCCATAAAACTTTCATAAAACCAAGCCAATGTGTAGCTCTAGGGTATTTTGTGCATCTATTATTATTATTATTATTATTATTATTGTTTTAGAACTAATTATGAGCAATGCAAATGTATTCAACCTGTCAATGTGATAAATTTTTAGTGCAAAGGGTTATTCTGTGGATAGGCAGTGATGTAAGCTTCTTTCGCCAATAAGCTTTTTGTATTTGTAAGTGAACTCATAGCGCTTGGAAATAAAGTTTCTCTCAATTGCTTTGAACGTGTCTCTCGACTGTATTATCAGTTAGAATAAGTACAACATATAAAAACATCCTGACTCGCTTTCGACCCGGTTTTTAAAAAATAATACTCGCTAATGATTAACCGTGAGAATTATAAAAGTGTCACACGAACAACATTTGAACATTTTGGCTCCAGTTAGCAGAAGAAAAACAGAAATATCTAACTTTTTTCAAAACTTACCTCCTCTGACCCTCTCTGTGCAGCGAGATGCGTGTTTGCCATAAATATGTTGGTGATGATAAAATTAGAAAAAGAAATCCTGAGTGGCTTTTTTGGCTTACAGGTATATAGGCAAGGCTGAAGTTGGTAAAAAATCCCCCCTTGCCAAAGATTGTATAGGCCTATATTACTTACAGACTGTGAAAAGTCACGTGAGGTCCATAAAGTTGGTTTTATGGTTTTGGGGAGTAGACAATGTACTATATAATTCACAACCTTGAATGAAAGTGACGGCTTAACTGCATGGATGGGACTGGAAAGGCTGGACTGGGGAAGGAAGGTGATGTCCACTCATATTTAGTTGCTTTACGAGGCTGGAAAAACTTTAAAAACTGTTTCTAGTAAAATATTGTGGCTGCTGATATTTGATTTTAAAATATCAGATTAAATAGGATATTTTTTTTATTTATTGGAGCTTCTGGATGCATATTTTAAAATAAAAATGCTGTTTGAACTCAATTTGGGGCAGATTTTAACCCAAATTATTTCTTTTTAATGTTTTGATAAAAAAGAAAAAAGCCCAAACTTCTGCTGTTTGGAAAATATCTATTCCTGCACAGCAGTACCAAATATTAAAGAGAATTCCTCTTATTCAATAAAAAAAAGAAACACATTTAGTGCTTTATTCTGCAAACACTAAATGTTTTGCAGGAGAAAATCTCTAAAGACTAATTCCAGGCTTTGTGGAGCTGACATGAAACGAACTTGAGCGGAGTGATTTATTCCGATCTGTCAAGTCACCGAGCGGCCAAAGGTGAAGTCTCGGACAAACTCCCGAGCTGGACACAAGCTCCACTGATTCTACATAAAGAAATCTCTAATGTCTAATGTGTGCTGCAATGCATTGTCTACCGGGGCCACTAATAAAAACCATAATGATATTATCTCCAGGAAACTAAAGGCTGTGTTTGTAATATATGCAAAGTCTTCTTAAAAACTTCATTTCAGGTAAAAAAAAAAAAAAGTTAAAACCAGTGGTGGGCTATATGGGTCCCAGACATTTTCCACATATTCATAACTATTAAGTGGCAATTTAACCAGCGTAATGAGTATTGCATATTGATAGGGGTAATCTGTACCCGGATCTCATGCATTATTCATAGCGGCGGGGATCATCGCTGGGTCAGGAGACGATGTAGACTGCGAGCCGCAGATGCGTCAGGAGGAAGCGCACTGCTGCCAGACTTTGCACTGTCACGATCGGGACTCACATCTGGATGAAAAAAGAGAGAGAGAGACACATGCATATGAGAGAATTTAATGTTTTTAATGTTAATATTGTTCAAATTGTAGTTTTTTGCTGTGGTGTTTAAAAGAAAGAAATCAGTGCACACATGCTGCGTAAATGTCACAGATTTTTAGCTCCTCTTTTTTCTTCGTCTGAGCTGCTTTGATAGTTTTATAAATGTGGGCAGAAATAGTGCAACATGTGCAGTAAATAATAAGGTTAGAAAGCTACTATTTTAACCACGTTTAGGTGTTTAAGTGTTTTAGAATAAAATCAGTGTATCCTCTAATGCAGCTTCACTCTCTGGGTAGTTAATGAGGGGAAACACTTCACAAAATCCTTTCTAAAAATTACATTTAAATATAAAAAACTGTATTTTTATTCTACAGTTAAATAGGTTAAATAGGTCAAACTTCATGTCAGTAACTCCTTTTTAAAATCCGCCTCCTCTCACATGAAACCTAAAGCTTTAATTAAACCAGAATGATGAAACACATGAAACAAATGTCACCTTGAACGGTTTTTTTGGGGGGTATTTTTTTGGGGGGGAGGGGGCCGTTTACGGTGTCATGGATGCTCAACATCTGGCTGACTGTGTGTGAGTTCACTGCTGCAGCTGCTGGTTGGAGGTTGATGTAATGCTGCTGTTGTGCCAGCAGAGGGCGCCTCAGACCGACCCCGGCTGATGATGGATGAGGTTTCTTTCTTTCCCCCCCTTGCTCGGGCTCTTATCATCGGGGGGCATTTAGGTTACAGAGCAGAAACACCCGCGTTCACTCCGAGTGTGTTTATTAGTTATCTGTGCAGGTCTGAGAGGGCAGAATAAACCTTTAATCCCACAGATATGAGCTGAGAGGGAGACTATTACAAACACAAGGCTTTAATCTGGTGGAGCTGCTGTTTCTTTAATCTGGTGGAAGCAGCTGAGTATATTTAACTTAAGTATAATTTGAGTATTTCCCATTTTTGGTGTCACTTTAAACTCTTTATCTGACAGCATTAGTTTCTACTTTTCAGATAAAGATTTTATATTTCCTGTTAAAGTGTTTCCCAACCTTCTTTGGCTTCCTACAGAAAGGATAGAGTGTTTCAGATGAAGTTTGTCACATTTAAATAGGCCCAGATGAGAGAAATGTGCAAAAAAAGTTAATAATATTTTGTGTAACAGAAGTTTTATTTTACATTAATCATCTCACGACCTCTCAGATTTACATCGTGACCCTTTGGAGGAGTTTGACCCCCAGGTTGGGAACCACTTAAACTACTATGCTGTTTACACAATTAACTGATATAATAATCACTCAACTAAATGTTACTTTTGATACTTAAAGTATTTAGGTTGTAATACTTCCATAAGACTCTTTTTTTTTAAATTGTGGTATTTATACTTTGACTTCCACCACTGAGAGCCTGAAGAGAGATGAAACTCGGGTTATATGGCCGACAAACATTTTAAAGATTAGTCAAAGAGTAACCTCAAACTTCCTGTGTATGTGTTCATGAGGGTGACACAGTTACATCACTATAAGTGGTCATAATGTGCATAAATACTGTCGTTAAAAGACATAATATAGGTTTTAATATATGTGTGAACCTCCTGTCAATGGTACAAACCTATGGACGGTATATGTTTGGTTCTACTTTCAACAAATAACTTTATTAATGGTTAATAAATCATTAGCTAATGCTTTATAGAGCCGTTGTAAGCCATAAATAATAAAAAGTTTTGGGTTTAACGTCCTCTGACTGACGATCTGCGGTGTTTTATTTGGAAAAATACAGACAATCTGGACCAAAATCTATTATTAATTACTTATTAACATTTATAACAGCATATTTAGTGTATTCAATTTTTTTTAACTGCAGACTGGGTGTGTTATTCTCCTTTATTAATGACTTATTAACATTTATAACTCACACTAGATTATTAACCCACTTTATTAATGACTTACACACACTTAAAACGGCTGACTTGGTGTGCTTTACCTCTTTATTAATGATTTATTAGCATTTATAACTGCCTTATTAGAAAATAACACACCCATGAGAATTTATAAATAGATTACCAACATTTACAAGCTGCATTATTACCAAATAAAAGGGAATAAACACCAGCCAAATGGATTTTTTAACAACCTGACAACCCAGAATTAGTTGTTTATATGCTTATAACCGACCTAAATGATTTATTAACCATTAATAAAGCCATTAACAGTAACTTATAAACCCTTCATACCGGTTGCCTTATTTAAAATAGGTGCTATTTAAAGGATATAAAAAGAAAAAAGCTCTGACTTCCCACATCTGAGTGTGCTGTTTCTGATATGTGGACATTATTAATAATTAAGCAGGCAGGCTTCTGTCCACGTGAACGCACAGGCTGACGACCTGTCATCTATATATACCCTGTAGATCCGAATTTGTGTAAATGTAGCAGCCAGCCACAAATTCGCGTCTTGGGGAGTATGTAGGTGATGACACTTCACCTCGAGGAAAACATTAAAATCCAATAAAACCCACTAATTGATTTCTGTAGGTTCCAACCTGTGGTGGCTTAATAATTCATGATATCATTTTAATGCTAATAATATGGACCCTGCTACACATGTTTGATGTTCCCTGGGTTTGGTAATATGTGTTGAAAGATGTTTGTGAGTTTGGTGCACAGAGCTGGAGGCCTTCACAGGATTAAATCTGCTGCTTTTGAGTGTTTTTCACCTCTTTTTATCCCCCACTCTCTCTCTCTCTTCTAGCTGTTTGGAGAATATGACATCTGTGAAAGTTGCCGGACAGGCCCTCAATGAGGGGGGCATTGTTCGGCACATCATTTGTCTTCTTTTCAACCGTGCTGCCTGTGTGTAGTCGAGGAGGAGTTTTAGTTTGCAGGGAAGTGTGAGGAGAGAGACCTCAGCAAAACAAGCTCCCAACAGACTCCCAACAGACCCGGAGCAGACTCTGCGACGATGAGGAGATCCAAAAGGAAAAAGTAAGTTTAAAGTTTTATAAAGTGTTATAAAAGGTGACAGACATGCAGAGGCGGAGTCAGAGTCCAGAATAATTTAGCATTTATAAGCAGTAGACAAACAGTTGGTTTATAATGTGGTTGTAGGCAGATATAAGAGTGTTTATTGGTATTATTGTCAGTAATTATAACTTATATTTCCTATTAATTATTAGTTTTTACTACATTATAATTATCTGTTCATACATCCAGCTCCCACTGATGGGTTGTATAGTTGTTGACAAACACATTAATAAACACTTATAGTGTTATAAACCATTTATTAAATGTTTACATACTGCTAATAAATGCTAAATAAAGTAAAACTCATGATTATTTATTATTTTTATTATTGTGGAAAATGACTTGTGATCTTGTGTTTTTCTTTATTTCTTTATTCTAAGTGTGTTTAAACGATATGAATTTGTGTATTTTATTTATTTGCTCTGCTGCCTGTGTTGTCTGTGGGAAATGAAGCTGCTGCCACAGTTTGATTCAACCGTCTTTGGATTAATCCTGAGCAATAAATCCTCTCCTCGTGGACACGTGGGTCCCTGCAGCTAATTGACAAGAGAGGTTGCAGAGCGCTGCATTTGTCAGCAGGCCTGCAGACTGAATGGAGGGATGGAGGTGGAGGAGGGTGTGTATGGGGTGAGGAAGAAGAAGAGGGGTGTGTGTGTGTGTGTGTGTGTGTGTGTGTGCACATGTCCATCACGGATCAGACAGGCAGCGTGAGGAGCGTTGGAGCTCGCCGTGGTGATGAAGATGGGATGTAAAGTGCAGCTCAGGGATGTTGTCATATCTGAATGATAACTGTGTGTCACCCACTTCAGGCCACAGGGATCAGACATGGATTTATATTTATACTGTATGTCTTCATTCAGTGCTCTGACTTATCATGTGGGTCCATCTGCATGCCTCCCCCCCTCCCCCCTTCCTCCTCCTCTTCTTCTCTGGCTGGCTCATATATCACAGGACGATTTAGACTTTTTGAAGACAGCGCACTTATTGACGATTTTCTTTGTATTTATATGGCACCTTTTATAGCACTATATAGGCCATCAGGGAGATTTGTGGCGCAGGCGCTGCATATAAGTTACCAGTTTATTAGGCACACTTAGTATCTGTATTGATGTACAGTAATTGGGGGGGACAAAATATGAGAAACACCTCTCAAACAACAACAGCCTCCAAGGAAGGTGTCTGAAAACATCTCATGGCCTTCATCCTGTGGAGTTAGCTCAGTTGTCATTGTTTTCTGAGGCTGAAAGCTCCTGGAAACTCCCAGTAAGTGAACCTTGAGCTGAGGCTTGAAGCTCAGTGATGCATTGAGCCACTTAAACTGGCAACTGAGTGCAAATGCAGACATGTTTTGATCTTTTATATGAAACTTAAGAGACATTTTTACTAAAATGTGTCTTTAAAATTAAATTAAATAAGATTTCTTATACTTTTTTACAGCACTATTCAGGCTGTCAGTGAGATTTATGGTGCATACGCAAGTTACCAGTTTATTAGGCACACTTAGTGTCTTTACTGATGTAAAGGAATTGGGGAGGACAGTAGGAATAAAAACAAGCTTTAAGCCACATCTCATGGCCTTCATCCTATGGAATTAGCTCGTTGTTATCTGAGGCTGAAAGCTCCTGGAAATTCCCAGTAAGTGAACCCTGAGCTAACTGCTATTGAAGCTCAGTGATGCAACATTAGTTTAACCACATAAACTGGCAACATGCATACAAAGTTTTAACCTTTTATATGAAGCTAAAGAGACATTTTACTTATATTTATCTGTACAATTAAATTAAATAACATCTCCCACACCAGCTATGAAACAAGAGGCTTAAATAACTAGAATTTTTTGGACATGGAGCCACAAACATCTGGTGGCCACTATCTATTTCTGTGCACGGCTCAGAGATCAAAGGTTGTTCATTTGCATTAATTAACGCTATACTTAGTTAAATATTACCTTTTCAGAGCCAATCAAAGCGATCGAGCAAAGAACGTGAAGATGAGAGATCAAAGCTGCCGCCAATCGATCGATCCCCCCCCCCACCACCAATGCAGCAGTCTGATGGGTCACCATGTAAACCAAAGCTCCTGTCCGGGCCTCATTACAGGCTCAACCTCTGCATAATGGACGCTGCTGCTGCTGCTGCTGCTGACCACTGTCTGTCTCTCTGCTTTAGTGCTTTAAAATCACTCCATCGGATCACTCATTTAAATTAGAAAAGAAAAAAAATCTCATTACATAAACAAGACGTAATGCACTTGGTATGTGAGTGTGTAAAGAAATAAATAAAAAAATCAAATAACTGATAGCTTTCTTTTGCCGGAGTAATTTATGGCGTCTCTGGCATCGGTCCTAAATGGGATGTTTGAATTTATTATTACAGCTTTGGACACGTTCCCAGGGCTGTTTAAACAGAATAGAGACTGAGCTTGTGTGTGTTCATATAACGGGGAAAATGCGACTTAAATTAAAAACTACAGCAGCTTTTTTTAGGGGCTCGTTTTAATTCATTTCAGCGGCGGTGTTAACAGGACATTTCCCTTATCTAAATACACTTAAAATGAGGTTCACTGCCAAAATATTTCAGCTTTTTCTGGCCTCTCTTGAGTCACCTTCATTTTTTATTTTTTATTTTTTTTTGTTCTGCTCTAATTGCTATAAAGATGTAGAGGCAGTCAAGATGTCTTATCTTTATCGCAGAGGCTATTACCATATATGAAACTGAGCTTGCATGATCAGCACAAACGGCTGAGACATAGAGTGCAGAAATGCTATGCAGGGCGGTGTGTGTGTGTGTGGGTGTGAGAGAGCTGCAGAAAGAGAAACACTGTACCAAAACAATCTGACGTCTCTCAGGTATACAACACCCCTCTACTGCAATGCAACAGCCACACCATCCACCATCAGAACCATCCTATAACTGCGGGAAGCCGCTTTCTCTGCAGGGATTTTTAATCTGGGGAGGTTTTAACCGCACACAAACAAACACACCACAACAAAACAACACACCACACACACACACACACACACAGAGAGAGAAAAGAAGGTGAGAGGGAAGGAAGCCGGTGTGTTTTGTTTCCGCGAGGATTGTTACAGTGCGGGATGAATGTGGGTTGTGAAGGTAAGGCAGCCGGGCTGTTGTGCCGCGGACTGGGTTATGTGTCTTTATGATTTACGAGCCTGACTCCAGCCGCGGTTCAACCAGAGTTCATAAAGCTGCATGCCTCCAGACTTTATTCTCTCTCGCTCCTTCTTCTCTTTTATATAAAGAAAGAAAAGCTTCTGTGTAAAAGTCTGTGTAATTTTAAGAGGAATTAAATTTC